GGGGGCGGGGGGGGACAGAAAGCTCTTGAGGGAAATATACAAGACAAGGGCTGTAAGGTTTACAAACTGTACCTACCTGCGTTATGTACCTAAAGCTACTTTTTTCAGTATTCGGAATTTGAATTTCACCAAAACATTTCTCAAGCTCATGTAACCCAAACCACAGGTTAAGAAACGACAATAAGAAATACAATTTCTAAATTTTGCGCTTAGCATATCTGAAGAGCTGGCTGACACTGTGGAATAACATATCATTTTTATCATTAAATAAGTCAAAAACTTACGATGCACGTCTGACATATTGTTTTCCACTGGTCGGGGGTCGGGTCCACTCCGGTGGGATTGTGAGCAACTCCGTGCAAAATTACGACTGCGTTCTCAGGGGCATTCTGTTCAAAGGCAAAAAGCAAATGTCAATTCTTTTTATTTTTCTCTCTTTTTTTTTACAACAGGGTACAAATGTAACAATACAAAGCTTTTTCCAACAGTACCAAATTAAAAAGTACAGCTTTTCTCTTTTCGTCAAAAAAAATAAAATTATTTTGAGTCAGATCAACACAAATGTTGAATATATAAGGACAGGAGGGAAAGCAATATTTAAAGAACTGTTCCAAAACTCACTGCTCTATAGGAAGTGTACCGCACAATAAAAATACATATATAGATTTAACATGTAAAACAATAATTCACAAACCGACAGATCTTCCATCATCCCTGAGAAGTCCAAGGAACGATTTGCATTGTCCCAGTACCGATACTCTTTGATCGAAAATCCTGCAGACTTGAAGATTCCCTTGTGATTTCCTGAAATACAAATGGTTTGACTCTAAAAACAGAACTCAGGACCTTTTCTACAAAATCTACTGATCCATGATAAGAAACATTGTCCTTATAGATCATGAAAAGGAAAATGTTTCTTTGTCATCATGCACTTTACGAGGGTTCATTGCTTATAAAAATCCCCACTAACATACATTTTTCACCACTGAAATAAATATTGAGAAATATTGACACATTATAAGTTACTGTACTAACAAACAATTAATAACAATGCACATATATAGTGCTCTCTCCCAATTTAAAAAAAATAGATTCTTTTTTTTTTTTTAAAATAGTTTGGCGGCACTTGCAACACAATTATAAGGTCATGTAAATGCCGAAGATTAGAGGTGTTACAAGAGAATAACAAACACAAAAAAGAAGGAGGAGAGATTAGGACGATATACGTTTGATATGAAAGAAGAAGCAAACCGCACCAGAGCACCCGCCAACCACCCACAAAACAAAGGTTCTGAGCGCTTTACAAATACAGGTAGCAACACACAAAGTGCTCTGATTAAAAGTCTCTTTTAATCCATAAACTAAAATGACTTCAGCTGACTTTTAAACAAAACTAAACAATTTGTTGACCTCTCTTGAATTACCAAGAAGTGTACGCTTTGGCAGTATGATGTGGTTAGTTTAGTCTTAGTAGAGGTTTTACTGTGCTCGCAACTGCATAAGGTCATATGAGCGCCAGAAGATTGGATGTGTTACAAGAGAGAACAAAAACATAAAAAAGAAGAAGGGGAGATAAGGACGATAGATGTTTGAAGGAAAGAAGGAGCAGACCACACCAGAGCACCCGCCAACCACCCACAGTTATGATGTGGACTCCTCCTCAAGGTCAACTGCAGTTGGGTATTACAGAGTAGTAGTTTACACAAAGTTGGCGCAACAATAGCTATACTTCCACAGGAACAGAGTTACAGATAAAAACAATGTGATTTTTTGGTTTTAGTTTAAGCATTTTATAGCACTTAAAACACAATCAGGTCACATAAGATGAGTTGTTACAGGTGAGAAACAAACACAAAAAAGGAGAGATAAGGATGGTAGAGACGCTTGAGGAAAGAAAGAGCAAACCACACCAGAGCACCCACCAACAAATGTGAAAAGTGAAAGAAAAGAAGAAGAAAAAGACCACACCAACAAGTCCAACAACCACCCGCTTCTGAGAACTTCCTACTGAACAACAGCTAAAGAACTCAACCCACCCCATGTAGGATTGGAGACGTAGACCACTTTAAATCCCAGGACATTGCCGAGAAAAGCCGCAGCCAGACGGAGGGCACCAGTTCCTCCAAGAGCCTGAAAACTCTCAGTCTGCAGAACGAAACAAAATTTAAAAAATATAAATTTAAAAGATAACATGGATAAAGACTTTGATCGATCTCTAGAAGGTGAAATTTACAGCAAATAATATATACACACACACGCACGTGTGCACACACACACACATACATACGAACACAAAAAATTGCAAAAAGTGTACACACCAGTAAAGAAAACAAATATGATGTTGCAACTGTACATGTCAAATTACATTCAAGTCAAGAACAAAAAGAAAAATAATTTTAAGACAGAGACATGCTACTTGCCCGATTCTCTGAGATGGCGGCATGGTTTGTACCCAGAAGAATTTTTGTGGCTGAGGTGCGAAAATCTGGCATTCCAGCAACTGGCAAATACTCGTGGTTAAGAGTCAAGTCTGCTGCCATTTGTGACTCAGCCTCTCTGACCACAGGTAGAACCCAAGGTTTGCCTTCATCAGTGCGGTATGCTGTAAAACAGGACACAAAATGCAATAAGTCAGATAATATCCTACACCTATGATTTTAATTTCCTATCAAGAGCACAAAAAAAAAAGTTTAGATAGTCCCTAAAAATACCCCTTTTCCAATTATTGCACATGATTCGTTTGCATGTATGTGTGCTTATATTATAGTCTAACCTGCACACATAGCGAAATCAGTGGGATGTGGAAATCTTTTCCTTTAATACGAATTTCACAATGTTGTGCGTGTTTTACACAAAAAAAGAAGCAACATGTATTCTGGCTCCAAGTCTAGCGTCCATCTCCAAAGACGACCGAGCCGGGTGGGAAATTCCTAAATTCGTTTCAAGTGCCTTTCCCAAGGACACAACGTTGGACTGAACTGAGGCTCGGACCCCTGAACTGTTACGTACTGACCAAAGCAGCATGTAACGACAAATAAAAAATTTAACCTCTCTAACAAAAAGACTTACGAAACCTTCCCTCGAGACGGAGGCTGTGGACTTTTTAGAAAGTTTGGGTACCCAAGGTAAAGAGAAGCACATCAACATTATTATTATATTTGTATAAGAAGGGTCCTTTAGTGCGAAAGAGCAAAGCAGACAGAAACAAATAGAAGAAGAAAAAGAAGCAATCCTTCTCTATTTGTTTCGCTCTATCCAACCACCCACAAAATGCCGTACAGGCAAACAAATATATGTGAAGCAGCGTGGTTAAATCAGGCGCTCGTCAAAATAATGTTATAAATTATGAAAGTCAGGAAATTGGTATTTCCCCGCAGGTTTGGGAATTTCTATCAAATTTTTGTATTTTGATCCAATACATTTCATACACGTTAAAGAGCACCTGTGTGGATTTTACTGAAAGCGTAGATTTAAAAGGCAGAAGAAATCTAAATTTTCAGTTTCCACGGACTCTCAAGCTCAAGAAATTACTCTTGAAACTTTGGCTGCCATTTAGCTGATTTTACGTCTGAAACTAGATGACCATACCTCCTTTTCAATCACACAAATATCTCGACTTCTTTTTAACATGAATATTATTTTCACCTAGCTGTTTGAAACAGTACATTCCTGGGGTCATCCAATCACAGGGCTTCCTACTGTAGCAAGTTTTGGTTTAACTCTTGAGCAAGGCAATAGGAAGATATAAAGTTCAAAAGTCGACATTTTCGTCCTACTTTTGACCGAACCGGTAATTTTACTCTAGTAGTTCAGTAAGGCTACCGGACTCGTAATCGTGAGGTTGCAGGGTCCGGGGTTTGAGCCGCGGACCCAACGTTGTGTCCTTGGGAAAAGCACTTTAAAAGAACGAAGTGGCTAGCCGTACTTATCTTAGGCCCTATTTACATTAGAAAACAGGAGGTTTAAAATACATGCACTGTCATTAAGGAACCTGGTTTTGTCTCAAATACAAATACTTTAGGTACTGCACATTAAAAATGTATA